ATTTATAACTCAAATAACAATAATAATCAATTCGTCGAAAATTTCTATGTTTAACATTCTATGTTCTATGTTTAACATTTTATATATGCAAATGATATTTTAAATATTTTTTTTTATAATGATGTATTAAAATTAATAGATTTAAAATTATATAATATTTTCATTTTATAGCCAGGAACACCAAATCCTGTAGTGAGACTGTATGTAGCAGACTTGGCAGATCCAAAGAATATTCATACGAAGGTAGTGAAACCGCCACCTATCATCGAGCATGTGTGAGTTTATTTATAAAGTTTGGAGTATGGAGTGCTTGAACAAATTTTCTCTTATTAATTTTTCCTCATTAGGTATAATTATTCGTCTTAAACAAAAAAAAAAAAAAAATTAAAGTAAATAGAACAAAACTGAAAATATCTTGAATAGAGATTGCACTTTGTTGTTTTTTACAAGAAACATTTAGATGTTTCTATGGTGACACTCTCAAGGTACTTCAAAAGAGAAAGCATATCATTTTTCAGCAAGATACTTTAAGATATACACAAGGAGTAGCTTCTTAGTTTAAAATGAGCTGGTTTTTAAGAATATTGTATAATTTAAAAATAAGTTTTAATAATATGTGTAATATATTAGTTTTTGTATAAATATATTTAATTCTTGTATTTATTAAATAATTTTTTTTAATATTTATAATATATATTATAATTTATAATATAATTCGTAATTTTTATACAAATAATTTAATATTCATAAATAGTAAATTTCATGATCATTTTTTTTGAAATGCGAATTTTAATTTATAATATTGATGATAAATGTTGTGTTATTTTGAAAAATATCGATTTGATATTAATATTAATTTCTTTCAGCTTCTTTCAAACTTGAAAATATTTTTAAAATTAAAGAATATTAAAATTAAACTCACGCAGCTTAATTTTAAATAAACTTTGAAGTGAAATTAAAATTTTTTTTTAACAAATCATAATTTCATTAAATATGTAAAATATGTATATAAATATGTAAATATGTAAAATATATAATATAAAGTTATTTATTATTTTTCACATTCACGAATTTTTTATACATTTATCATAAAATATTTACAAATATTAAATATTTTATGCATCTAATATATTTAATAATTTAAAAAGGTTTTAAAAACGTAATTTTAGAAATCATCTCATTTTAATTCCAACAATATAATGTAGAAAATATTTTATTTCATATTTTAGCATAAACAATTTTAGCGATTTTAATTTACGAATTATTTTAGTATGCATTATAGATATTTATTTTCTTTTATTTGCTTTCTTTTTTTTTGTTATTTTTTAAAAATACAACATAGCTTTTTTTATAATTAAAAAAATAATTAATTAACAGGAATTTTAGGCCATTAAAATAATCATTAATAATTTTATATATTTTTTCTTATCATTAAAATAATTAAGATTAAATAATTCATTATTTTATTAGATAAAATAATTATGCATAGATATAATCTGCTATTAGTAGTAATAGCATTAAGTTGCATTCTTATAGATTTAATTGCTACTGAATATCATAAAAATTGCTTCAATTAAAAGTATTCAATATAAAATAAATTAATTATTATATTGTTACATATAATATTAGCTATAAACATTATCGTTATTTATATTCATTAACAGAGAACATTACTTTACAACGGCCTCGTGGGTTTCTTCAACAGAAGTTTGTATAACATGGTTGACACGTGCACAAAATCTTTCTGTTGTGACTAATTGCAAAAGTCCATTATGGCATTGTCAGGTATATTTCAATTGTTTCAATTATTCTTTAAATTATTATTTTATTTATATGAAGTAATTTTTACCATTTTACGTAGGAAATTCAAAGAATAGTAGCTGAAGATCGTGGCTGGGTAGATACTCCTCCAGAATCACCTATTTTTTCAGCAAATGGCAGTAGTTACATTGCTATAAGCCCAGTTAAAGATGGTCCAGCTGGTTATTACAAACATATTGTTTGGGTGAATGTTGCTCGAAAATTAGTTGTTCCACTCACTCATGGAAAATTTGAAGTTGCACAAATAGTAGCATGGGATGAACCTAATAATACTATGTGAGTAACAAATTTTATTATCTATTAAATATTAATTTTTAATAAGATTAAATGTGTAATTAATTATTTAATATTTTAATATTTTTCTTGGAATCTAATCTAATTTTTTTACATAGATATTTTATAGGTATTCCACCTATGCAACCAGGACAAAGACATCTTTATTATGTGAGTTCATTGTTACCACATGTGGGTTCATCTTTACATCCTGCTTTTTGTGTTACTTGCACGGAAACATCAGATGGATATCGAAAGGAACATAGAACAGCTTCATCTAGTCATTATAGTTCCTCGTCTGACAATAATTACATACGTGATCATTATGAAACACAAACAGAAAATATAAAAGTTGAGGGACAACCAAAAGAAAATGTTACAAAGAAACAGAAATCAAAAGCATACACTGCACCAAGTAAGTGCAGTTTTTACAGAAAAATTAGTTATTGTTTAACATAATTGCAATGATATTTACATATATTTCTTTCATTTTCAGAATTTACTGATCAACCTTGTCAATATCATAATGCGATTTTTCCACCGATTGGTACTGATTATTTCGTTTTGGAATGTTATGGACCTGGTATACCCACTGTTACTTTATATAAAACTAATTTTCCAATGCCACATCTTATCTATGTCTTACAGAATAATACATTATTACGTGTAAGTTATAATAGTTTTTATGTTATATTTAAAATAAAATTTTACATTTGAATTATACATTTTATAGTATAAAATATTAAAAGTTATAGTATAAAAAATAGTATATATAAAATTAAAGATTTATTTTAGGAGCGAATTGCCAAACTTGCACTTCCTCAAGTCAAAACATTTCCTGTTCAAATAAGTGGTGGATATAATGCACAAGTAAAATTATATTTACCGCCTGGATTAAGAGAAGATGAAATCACACGATATCCCTTAATCGTACAAGTGTAAGTATATTTTTAAATATAATTATTATAGAATATTTATTATAGATACAATATTAGTATTATTTAAAAAATACAACTTTCGAAATTTGTATTTTTAGATATGGTGCGCCAGGTTCACAATTAGTAACAGAAATGTTCAAGATTGATTGGAATACTTATTTGGCTAGTAGAAAAAATATGATTGTTGCACAAATTGATGGCAGAGGTAGTGGAGGTCAAGGCTATAAATTTCTTCACGAAGTTTATTACAGACTTGGCTCTGTGGAAGTTGCTGATCAACTTGAAGTGACTGAGTGAGTATAATAAATTCTACTGTAAAGAAATATTTTTAATATTTATTGTCTAAAAATTATTAAAAATTTCTAGATATTTACGAGATTCGTTACATTTCGTGGATAAGCAACGAGTCGCTGTTTGGGGTTGGAGTTATGGAGGTTTCGTAGCTGCTCTTGCGCTGGCGCATCCTGAGCAAAATGTTTTTGAATGTGGTATAAGTGTAGCTCCTGTTGTTTCATGGAAACTTCACGGTACAATATAGTCCAATTTCATTTTATTTTGAATTTTCACAATTTTATTAAAATTAAATTATTTTAATTTTGAAACAGATTCTGCATATGCTGAAAGATACATGGGTTTACCAGATGTTATATCAAATTATAAAGGATACGCTGAATCAGATGTATACGATAAAGTGGAACATTTACGAAATAAAATGTTTTATTTAGTGCATGGCACTGCAGATGATAACGTCCAATTTCAACAATCCATGGCACTTGCGCGTCATCTTGCGAAAAAAGGCATTCTTTTTCGACAACAGGTAATTAATTATAAATTAATTAACGATTAATTTATAATTGTAGTAATTTATTAAACAATTTTAACATATCATACACAATTAAACAATTTACATATCATCACGAAAATATATTCAGCAGAAATGTATTACAATAGATGTATATCTATTATTAAGATGAATATATAAATTATCATTCACTTTTAGGTGTATCCAGATGTGAGTCATTCATTAGCAGGAGTTAAAGGTCATCTTTACTTATCAATGGCTCAATTTTTGGATGATTGTTTCCAAAAACAAGTATCCACTGATACAAAAGCTGGTCTTATCAATGGTGGATCTGTAGTTTGTAATTGTAAATAATGAAAATGATCCACTTGCGAAGAAATTCCATATATAAAAGTTATACCTGAATCTCCAAATTGTGTTCCGTTTATTGATATCTTAGGAGAAAAATATTTTCGCATTATTTTGTATATCGACTAAATATTATAAGAAAATGGTATGTTTCAAATTGGAAATCAAATCTAAATGAATGAAAGTGATAGATTCTAGCATTGTTAAAAAGAATATTAATATATTAAATATATAAATATAATTTTTTATTTTAGAAATGTTATGATTTTTTTTATAAAATAGGGATATTTGATATTTTTTCTAGATATAATTAAAATTAAAAATTATGATTACTATGATTTATGTTTTAAAAAATTATATTTTTCTTTATACATTCATAAAGTTTTCATTTAAATTATTTATATCTCTTCTGCAATACAAATAATTAATAATGTATATAAAATTCGTATAAAATTGTAATACAAAAAATAGGAATGAAATATGAACCAAAGATAAGTGAAAAGAAAAACTAATTTTATTCATTTAGATATTGATTTTTCTTCTGTTATAATAAAATCCAAAAAGATAAAATTTATTTTAAACGTTACATAATTTATTAAAGATGTACAGAATCATTTACCATAATTGCAAAACAAATATAATCGGGACAAGTAAGAAAAATAATTATTCTTTTCATCAAATCGATATAAAACGAAATCGAACGATGAAAATTCATGAACCCGTAAACATTCAATACAAGGGTAACTTTTTCCTACTTTCATTTAGATCTTCCTAATTAATAATATGCGTACAAGAAACACAAAACGACGCATTTAAGATTATTCCTCAATGTATATTTCTCGAATCTCTTATATTATAAGAAGAAACATTTCACTCAAAATTCATGTAATTTCTCTTACATACCTACATAGATCTATCTTATAACGATTCATTCGCTACAATAATTAACATAACACTTTGTAAACAGTATTAATTAACTTCGAGGAGCAATAAAGAAATTTTATAAAAATAACATTCAATTAATTGAACTAAATAAGGTATAAAGTTAACGGACATGAATCATATGGCATAATAACAATACGTACATACTATTTTACCTGAATGTAATGAGCAATTGAAGAGTTAATAACAAGATTAAAGTGTAATTGTCAAATTGTACTGCGTGTCAAACTCTACATGAGTTTCTTCAAACAGCAATATAAATAGGGAGATTTAATTTTAATTTCTATTTTTTGTAAATTTTTTCGAAATTTAGATTTCTCGATAGATTTTCTAAATTATTAAGGAGACATTATCGATTGGTCAGTAGTCTGAAATGGATTTGACAATCTTCTTGTTCGAACATCTGCCAAGATGTAGTAACATGTGGTTTTTAAGATTGGTTGGTTTACTGAAACCACGGCTACAAATATGGCATCTAAATGGCCATAGTCCATTATGCACGTACATATGACTCTTAAGATCTCCAGGTGTTGGGAAAGATTTGGAGCATTGTGAACATTTGTGTGGTTTTTCCTGAAACATAAGAGTGAAAGCATTCTTTATTACGAATTTTAAATTGAAACAAATCATTATTTTTTAAAACGTTTTATAAAACGATGTAATTTCAAAATTTTAATAAACTTTTATTTCATTTAACTATAATTTTTAACATATTAAAAGCAATTGTCGTTATGGCTATTATATAGTATAATTATAAATATTTTATTTTTAAAAAGTTATTATATTCAATAATTACTGCCTAAGTAAATGCTAATATTAAATATCTGTTGTTAGTAGCAAACAATTTGATATCCAAATAATAGTGAATAAAATGAAATTGCATTGTTTTTCAGATGTAAATTTAAAAATTTTATCTTTTGAAATCTTTGTTAATTTTACGCATAATAATTATAAATAATCTGTTAAAAAAAATATTTCTATTATATAAAAATACGCTTTCAAAATTAAAAAACATTGCAGTCCATTATATTATTATATATATAAGTATAAATCTAAGAAAAGTACCATACCAATTTTTCACTATTAATGTACTATTTATTCATCACTTGCAAGCGTTCGTTGGTAATAATATTTATATTTAAATCTTAAAAAAAAAGTATATCTGTCGATATTACAAAATATCTCGAAGAAAGGATTCATAAACGAACTAATATATTTATTTTTAATATTAGCACAAAAATTAGAAACTTTCTTCTATAGTACAAATTACAATTACAATTAAATAAAAAATAAAATTCTAAAGTTATTTTTATTTCATCAACTTACAGAAAATATGTAAAAATTTACGAAATGTTATATACAGATATAAAAATAATGAAATAATAATTGTAATAGATAGATAGAAATATAATAAACGGCAATGATTGCAGAAAAATTTATATACAAAAGTAATTGCTGTTCATTATTGTATTAAATTGAAATTAAAAACTGTTAACTTTGAAAGAATAAAGGAATTCACGACATCAGATTATTCTATTTCTACCTATATCCCCTAATACCATGTAATAAAAAAAAAAATTCGAACACCAAAATTATCGTCGATACGTTCGTTATCCCGGTTCGATCGGCTCGTCGAACGGGAATAAAAGAACGCGTCATGGTCTCGCGAAAACACGATGAAAAGGTGGCGAGCAAGGGTAAATGTGATGAGCGTAAAAGTTGTAGCGGGCACACGAGAATGAATAGAATGGAAGAGGGACGCGAATGGAAGACAGTAGGAAGACGAAGGAGAAAGATGTCAGAGAAGATAGTGTAAGTAACTGTGGGCAAAAGGTAGACGGGAGATAGAGTTGGAAAGCGATGTTAACATAAGATCGAAGAGAGAACCAGAAGAGTCTGCTGCCTCTGGGTATATTCTCCGTCTCCCTAATTGGATTGCATTCCAAGCAGTAGCGAGTAATGGACCAATTACAGTAGCTGATGGCAAGAGCAACCTATATGGCTCCCGAGATATCATTACTTCGCTGGATTAGAGAAACTCATATGGGGGTTTCCGCTCTGATAAATAAAAACTTCGACCGATCTTTTACCACTCGCGCCTCGCGTTACCGCTCCGCGTACCGGTTTCCTGCATTTTCCCGATCGCTACCAGATCTTACACCCGACTGGGATAACCGAGGATAAAATAAAGATAAACTTCTTCGAGAGATTCGATATGCATCGATTCTCGATTTGCCTTTTTTTCTTTTTCTTCTTTTCTATATTCTATAAATTTTAAGTTAAGTGTTTCACATGTTAATATTTCCGTGATCAGATGATAGAGTTTAGTAATTCATTGATAGTTTAATACGAAAGTTTCTTCAACAATTAAAATATTAATTGTAAATAGGAGTAATTAATTTTAAAAGAAGAGAATCATCTATTTTTGAAAAAGAAAATTATTTTCACAGGAGAAAAAAATATAGTATATATAAGTATATGTGTATTTCGTATTTTACTCTATTTTACTCTATTTAAGAAGAAATTTATTATATTAGAAAAGGTAACGAAATGGATCAATATATCACTTTATGTCAAAATAGATTTAAGAAATTAATTTGCCTGTGTTCGATCAAATCAATGTATCTAAGTAAGTTTAAGATAATTTCAAGATCATATTAGATCGATAAATTCATTTTGATTTCACTTACAATCAACATTAATATTTTAACGAATTCTTCAGGTAATTAGTAAAAAAGACATTTTTAAAGAATTATTTGGAACTTACCTTGATATGAGTCATACGATGATAATAGAGATTGGAGGAGGCTGTAAACTTCTTACCACAAACAAGACACTGATGAGGTTTTTCACCGCTATGGATTCGTTTGTGCGTATTCAGCGAGCTCGATGTTGAGAAACCCTTGTTGCACACCATACAAACATGCGGTTTCTCTCCTTCAATTTAACAATAAGATTAAATTACTTGAACTAATGGTCAACTGTTTAAATTAATTGTGCGAAATATTTTAAAATTTCTTAAAAGTTCACTTGTTTAAATTCATCAATTAAATCTCTTTCTAATCTGATAGGTATGTGTAGGAGAAATATTTTGATAGATTAGATATTATTATATTTATATATATATTGCAAAAGCTAAGAAACAAAATAAGATCCAGCTATTGCAAAATCAATTAATTTTTTTAAAATAAAATATAAATCTTCATTTACTTTTATAATAAATAATTTGATTAAAAGTTATTGAATTATTTAGAATCATATATTTGATAAAGACAAACTTATGTTTCTTAATACTTAATAGCAATTAAAGATTAAAGTTTTAAATATTAAAATTAGGGCTTACCAAAATTTTCATTATCTTTTCTTTTTTTTTTTAAGGAAATTGTAAGGCAAAAAACGAATTTTAATAGCAAGTGTTGAAAATGATTATATTTTACTCACCTGTGTGCGTTCTCATATGACGTTTCAGAAGAGAAGGTCGGTCGAAAGACTTTCCACAAACTTCACATGGCAAAAGAACCCTCTCTCCTCTTTTAATTGTCGTTAAAATACTGCAATCTAAATGATCTCCTGTCAAGGACAACGTCGATGACGAGGATTCCTCGGATGTTGATTCATATTCATCCACCTCGTAATAGGGATGCGAGATAGTTGACGACGAATGATGAGAGAGCAATGCCATGGATAAGTCTAATGGGGATTCTTAAACACAAAATCTGGTTATTAAATATTATTTTTAAAATTTTATTATACCAGCCATGCAAAACTGATCAACTCCATCATTTAATTTCTGAAAAGTATATTAAAATGAAGAATTTTTCAGAAAATCGAGTCGATCAGTTTTATTTCTAATTGTAAGAGACGAAGAATTTAAAAAGATAGTCCGTATTTTTTTCAACATTTAAAATCTATTTTAAAAAATTCTCCATATAAATATATTGATTTCTATAAAAAATAATTTGTTTTATTTTTTATACTGAATAAATACTTTATATTCTTTATAAATATAAAAACAAAATTATATTTTTAATAATTTGTTTTTTCAAAAATATCGATTTTTATCTTATCCTTAATATTACAAAAGATACATAATCTTTTAACGTATAATAAATTTATAAGAAATATTATTCTTTTTCCGTTTATATTTTAATTTATTACCTTTTTTTCGAAACATCATATATAATATTTTAAATTTCTTATATTTGACATTTGATTTATGTCTTCCTATTAATACGGATTCTAGAAATTCTACTAAACGTATGAACATTCGTATATACAAATGACAATGTTAAACCTTCCTTTATCCGCCATTGTATACCACCAACCCGATATCTTATCCGATATAATATTATCCATTTTCTCGGTTTCTTTCAAGGCCAGATCTTCTAGCAAATATCGCGGCTGTAACCATCCCCCACACGGTCCCCCATTTTATCCTCTGCGATTCTCTTCTTCGGTCGGCGAGCCCTCCTCTTCGGAATTGAAGGTTCGCCGGCATTGTACTGTCTTTTATATCCCCCGGTAAGCGCGGGGGTCTGCGCATTTGAATCATGAGCGAACGAACGAGCACCTTGTGATCCAGCCGACAAAAATACCGGCTTATATTTGCATTTCAGATTTGTTAGCCAACTTTCTTTCCTTTCTTTTTCGATTGGCTCGCGATTGCGCCGATTAACGCGATTGCACCCGGCCAAGATTTCAATCGGCACGGTTCCGCAGCTTTGCCATCCGCTACGGCTTTTTACGGTTTTTTTTTTTTTTTTTTTATTTTTCTTGAACACGCGAAACGTGACTCGACGCTCTTTCGAATAAGTTTTTTTTTTGTTTTTTTTTTTAAGTTGATAAATTGAAGCAATTTTACGTGTTATGCAAATTAATGTTTCTTAATAGGTTCACTGCTGATCGAATTTTCTAACTTATATCATTGGGAAATTCAAGATAGAAGGTCAATTAGTGTAATTTGCTTCAAGATGAAAGTCTTTAATCGAAGCAATAATCTAAGTAGCACGAAGATGTTTTATATGGTTGTCTTTTAATTCTGTAGTATACAACTTATGCATGTTAATTTTCTTCGACTGGATTTTTAAAAATTTAATTATTTAGAGTTAACACTTTTCTTGAATGTTTCAGTTAAAATATTCGGCAATGTCGTAAAACGTATCAAATTTATAAAAAAATATTAAAGCAGGAATAAAAATTAAAGAAGAAAGAAAAAGATATGAATTAAATAATTAATAAATGCTAATTATCTTCGAGATATCTTTAAGCCAAAAACTTTCAGTTACGCATAACTTTGTATATGTTTAAGATTTTATTCGCTTATAAAATTTTATATCGATTTTCGTAATAATTATTTAAGGTAATATTAAACAACTCACCATCTAAAATGGAGTCAATCGTGCATCTGTACAAAGCAGACCTCGAACACATGTCGTGTGGTATAAAGACGAAATCTTGTTCTGCTGTAGGAAGAAACCAAGCTACTAATTCTGTATCCGGTTGAACATCTTTTATTACTTCAAAGATCGGATCTCCTGCACCGCATGAACAGAAAAAAGGTAAGAAGTGTTATTAATTTACATTAATAAAAAATAAAGGGAAACAAAATAAATTAGATTTTAGTATTAAATATTTGATAAAATATAATTATTGTTTTGCATATAAAATATTTAATCAAGAGATATTAATATTATAATGAAATTTTACAATTATATTTTTAATTATAATTAACGTAGTAAATTTATTCAAAAGAAAAATTGTCATTCGTGATAATAATGTAAAATATTAAAAATTAACTAAGTTAAGACGAATCATTTTAAAATAATAAAGTTACGAAGCTAATAATTTGTATGAAAAATATTTATCAGGACTGAAACGGATGTACACTATCATTTGCTGCAATATTTTAATTCTCATAACTTATTCCATTTTTTTTTAACATGTATTAGCTTACCTTTCACTTTGGTACCAATTAAGTTTACTTGTTCGTCATAAGACTGAACGATACGAAGGAATCTTATCCAATTGCACTGACGCTTGTTAAGGCTGTAATTTGAAAAGAAGACTTCATCGTAGCAGCCATATTCGCGTCTGATCTGAAATAAATCGCAGTTATGAAAAACTTGTTTTAAAACTTGTGAAAATAACCATTAGAACTATTGTAACTGTAACTGTAACTGTCTGCATAAAATATTCTACATGATATTTGATTTTTTTTATATTAAATGTAAAGACGAAGTTATGAACATTTTTAATAGTACTATTATAATCGAAATAAAAATAAAAGAAAAAATAAATTAGTAATATATATGGTTTAAGAATATACATTTTAAATTAGAATTATAATTACATTAATAATTTATAAAAATATTTACTATCGAATAAATATGTGATAATTTCCTATTTAAAAATTATATTAATAAAGTGAATTTTAGTATTTTTCTAATTAATTAATTAATTAAATGAATAAAAATAAATTAGTTATAAATATGAATATTAGTTTTTGAATATAATTCATGTTTATGTATACTATTTATATTATATATAATATTCATGTTCATTTATGCATTTCGCATTTTTATATTTGATATAATCATTTATGAATCATTCTTCTCTTTTTATTCATCTTCTACTCACTTTTTACTTTTGTCATTACTAAAACCATAAAGATGCATTTTGTAAGATTAATATTAACTCTTATTGAAATAGAAATATGATTATATCTATATTCCTTCATTTATTTGCATTCTATTATTTTAATTATAATAATTATTCATGTATAAAATATTTACATATAGAATGCATAATACTTTAATATTAAAGTCAATAAAGAAATTACATTATTATTAAAATACAACGATTTACTTAATAGTAGATATATTAAAATAATTGGACAAATTTTACATAAATGTTAATGGAAATTATAATATCCAAATAAGAATACATTATTCCTATTTACTTTCTATATTTCTAATATTAGATGCCAAAAGATTAATACCTTGTAATTTAAATATGTAATTGAACATTGATATAATTTGTAGTAAATATATAGTAAATGCATTTTCTCACGTGTTACTTAACGTTATAAAATGAATATCTGTGTTTTAGAGCATTTAAAACTTAATTAAAACAATTTGATTTAGATTTTTTTTATTTATAATCGATATTTATGCTTCTGTTTATAAAAAAGTTATATATGTTATGTACTTATGCATGATATATAGTGAATTATAATAAATTAATTTCTTTTAAAATTTCATTTGTTATAGAATTTATAATAAAGATATATATTTAAGATTCAAATATATTCAAAACTCATAATTGTTAACAATAAAATTATCATATAACAAAATGATTTAAATAAGAAAATAAAATATTAGTACAAATCTCATAAATTTTCAATTTAATGTATTAAGAAGGAAAAATAAAATTTTCAATATATGTTGTAATAATGTCATTCTTTTAAATTAATTTATGTAATTATGTAATTATGTAATTATATAATATATTTCATTCAATCCCACATCTTATTCACTCCCGTAATACTTAATTGATACCGCTAATAATTGACGATTATACATATAATCAATATAAAAATGTTTTATTTAATAATAAATTTAATAATAATATTTAATTAAATATTTTAAAATTTTGAATTATATTTTGTATTTTATATGATGAAAATAAGAAATTGATTTTTATTTCTTAATATAATAATGTCATTGTTATATAAAATAAAATTAAATACTAAATTCATGAAAGGGCATAAGTAAATCTTTTAAAGTTCCCTCTTATAAAAAAAAATGCTAAAAAAATAATGCTTAATAATGTAAATTGATTCAAAAAAAAAATCACGAATGAAACGTTACTTTAACGCAACGTTGACCCTTAATAAGTTAATTTTATCACATACACCTGTATGCTCTCAGTAATTTCCGTTCATAATTACAATATTAAGGTACAAATTTCAATAATGTTGATTGAATGGAAAAAAATTGTAAATTAAACGTCTTAACTTGATCCTTAATCGGTTATTTTATCAAAAATGTTTATTGATAATATCAAAAATGTACGAAACTTGTTATGAAACAGTTCAAGCGTTAAAATAAGTTGTAAATCGATACAGTATATTTTCTACAACTAAAATTAAATAAAATTGGAATTTACATGTTTTCAATCCTGAAGTTACAAATCTCAATTTAATTAAAAATTATTGAAATATTATATATTAATTAAAAATAAAATTACAAAATGTTACGAATAATGTTGAACGAATAATGTGTTTTTTTAAAACTAAAAGAATATTCAAGATATCAATATATTCCGAAGAAAAAATTAATGGAAAAATTGTAAAAGTTAGACGAAGATCCAAAATAAAACCATTACTTACATCATTGTCATCTAAAAGGGAGTAAAGGTCGATTTTGTCGAATCGGATGGATCCCTGAAAGGGGTAGATCAACGTCCCCGCCGGAATAAGCACGTTGGACCATACGGATATTCTTACGTCCGTAACTAAACTTCCTGAATCATTCTTGAAGAGGCCTTTATAGTTTGATCGATCGTTCGCAAGTGCCAATGAAAATTCTTTGGGTATCAGAACGCAGGTTTCCATAACAGAGGCCCCGTAAAGGGATGCTTTGGGGATATCACAGCTATCGTTGTCTCCACCGTTGTAAACACTTTTCTGAACAGGCCACACGACAAAATCCTCGATTCTTTTCTACCAAACGTTTATTAATTGATAATGGCCAAACGTCGATGTTTTTTTAATTTTTTCTTCAACAATCTTTACCAAAAACTTGGTCTTCAGCCAAAGAAATGAGAACTGGCGAGAGTGACTACCAAAGGGTAGTAAAAACAATTTTCTGAATCGGTTTACAAAAGAAACAAGAATAACAACGATCTTAATTATGTTCGTTAAGACGCCACCACGAAAAAAAAAAATACACTTGAATATTTTTTTGGTGCAATTAAAAGACACACTTATAAAGAGCGCACTCGAAACTGTCCCTGTGTTCCCGATCGAACGTTGTTTTCGTGTCCGCTCTCGTCTTAGATCTAGATGAGGAACACGATTTATCGATATGTATATTCCCTTCAGGTGAGAATCGAGCAAATTCGAAAATTAGAGCAAATCAAGTTCCGCTCGCGATGATCGCAAAGTGAAAATTTCAGTTGCGAGCGTGAGGGTCGTTCGTCCTCCAAGGTGCAAGGGCCTCGGCTGACTGGATAGGATTAACCGACTGATCTTGACCTTGCGACGGGTTACCAGCATTTGCTACCGAATGGGTAGCCCTTCCCCTTCTTTACCTCTTTTCCCACTCACAGTACATGGCCCGCTGCAGACTTTTTCAGTGGCGTAGATCTCTCTTTCGCATTCTGTTCTCATTAATAATCCCTTCCCTCTACCGATCTGTTCTTCTAGGATCGTTTAACGACACTTCCCCTCCCAATTTTTAACATCGATTATATTTCCCCTCCTTTCCTTTCGTTTTCTCAAAAGGAAGGCCAAGTTTCGACTGTTCGTTCCTCGCGCAAAGAAGCAGAATAAATAAGAAACGTGTCGATGAAACAAAGTAGCCAAACAGTATACGCCAATGGATCTCTTTGCCCCACTATGTTCATCCTGTGGCGAGTGCACTTGGTGTATAGAACGAGTATCGGCTTCTTCACCATTACAAGGAAGCCGGCTCGTCGTCCTCGTCGTCGTCATCGTCGTCTTCTTCACCCTTCTACCGTCGCTGCAGCACCGTAAAGAGAGAACCCACGTGGGCGATTGGGCACCTGTCGCTCCCTGTGCCCTTTCCTTCTTCTTCTCACTGGTCGGCCATTCGTGTCCATCCTCTTCTACTTCCCTACCATCTTCCCGCTTCCACGCCCTACCATATCCTTTTATCCGCCGCTCTCCTGCTCCTCGCCATTTCTTCCACCTAACAGCCTTCTGGACTCTCTTATTTCTTTCTTTCGTCGCGTTTCCTCGGGCCTGCACCTTGGCGATCTTCTGCCAACCAACCGAGGCCTGCCTCCCTGATTCCACACCGTTCCATCTCGCTTCAACCTCTTACTCCTCTTACCTCTTACTCATTCTTCTTTCCGTCCAACTTCTTTCCTTCTTCCTCGTTCTTCGGGCTCGTCTTCGTCCACTTTGCTTCGTCGCTAGCCGCCACTCTGATCTCTTTCTCTCGCCCTTCCTCTTCTTCTCGTTCGCCATTCGCTCTACCCGTCACCTGAAAAACCTCTCCTCTTATTCATTCGTTACGATCGAACGCTGCTACACCGAGAAATAAAGTTACGAAATCGATCAGGGGCCCAGTTTCGTATATTTCTCCACCTCCTCTTCTCCCCACTTCTTTGTCATTATCTGGTTTTTCGCCAATTAAGGCCTTTTAAAGATCGTGTTGTGAGAAACGTTCGATTAATACTTATGCGTTGAAAGCTTGATAAGTTTCAAAAATTTTTACTTTCTCAAGCAATTTTCTCAATTAAACCGGTTATTCAATATTTAATGCGACTGTTTCTCTTTTATTATTGATATTTTTTTTTTACAGAGTTGAAAAAGTTGTGCACTCATGTATGTGCAATGATATAGATGATATTGTTAATTTTAATTCGTGAATAATGAATTAAAATTGGTAAAATTTGAATTGATTATATTATAATTATATATAATTATATGATAATTAATGATAATTCAATTATATATAATAAACACTGTATTCTATTTTCAAGAAGTGATTGCTTAATATTTTGATCTATCTTCGGTTATTTGCTCTTGTAATTATTGTTTGCTCTTGATCTGTAGTTGCTTCGGTAGTTGTTTGATCTTCAGTAGTTACTTCGGTAGTAGTTTGATCTTCGGTAGTCACTTGATCTTCAGTAGTCACTTGATCTTCGGTAGTCACTTGATCTTCGGTAGTCGGTTCTTCTTCGGGAGTTTCTAGTTCTTCGGGAGTTTCTATTTCTTCTACGATTACTGTAGGAATTTTAAATTTTAATGGTTCATATCGCGAGGGTCTTGGACTTCTGACTACGTCGGTTAAATCAATTATCCTTCTTCCACTTTCTCGAATCCTAATTCAAAGATAAATTATATTTATATATTATATTTATTTATTCTAAAAAGATGATTTTCAATCATTAAATTATCATATTAAAGATATTATATTATATCAATGAAATGATAATATATTAAAAAGGTATATTAAATAAATGGAACTATTGTTTTTAATATATATATATATATACCTTATATAGAAATAAGATCCTAAAATTATAATACCAACTAAAAATAAGAAAAGAATCACTACAAAGGCAACAACATAATCTTCGCTTGGTAGCCAACCAAAAAAGAAACGTGTTGCTTGATCTTCCATTAAGTACGTACGCCAATTTGGTGGTCCTAGAACTTATAATAATATATATAGTGTTAAATTAATTAAATAAAAGAATATAAAATTTAATAATTTTAAAAATAAAGATTGGTATAACAATAATAAATAACATATATTATTACATTATATGCAATAATATTTTTACATATAATTATATAGTACTAATATATAATAATAAATGTATATATGTATATAAATATATTTTAAACTTAACTTTAAACTTAAATTTATTATTATATTTAATACTATCTACTAAAAAGGTAGTTCACTATATTATCATAAGCAGATAAATTTTAGAAAAATTTTTTATTTCAGCATGATTTTAAGTTAAAAAATTTTAAATCATTTCTGTAAAAAATTGTGAATACGTGCAAATAACCGTGCGAAATTCATTTAGAGAAAATCTTTAAATAATAACATCCTTAGAAGGTCTCGAATATAATGTTACTCACACTATTACCGGTTTTTCCGGTTCTTGCAAGTTTCTACCAAGACCCGTTTAATAAATTATGCATATATTAAAAATGTATATGATCTTATGTATAATAATTTTAGCCGAAATACATTTTTTATGTAATGTTCTTTTATCTGCATAGGGTTAAATAAAGAGCTAAGAGAGTGCCATCTCGCTTGAAGAAGGAACTTTAACTTCTAATTTTTCTCAAGATGATATAGGAAATATATCGCGCAATAAAATAAAAATTAAAAATATTTAATTTTAATATTATTATGATACTATTATTTTTATAGAATTATGGTGTAATAATTAATTACCTTTAATGTAAATCATATTTGTTATCCACTCAAAGTTCAAATCATTTTGTTTCACAACGCATTGCCACATTCCATTATATGTTTTATTAATTTTTGTAAGCTGTTCGATATCGGCGGCAATGGGAAGTGTAATACCATAATCTTTATACGTTTTATTACGTACTAGCCAGATCACTTGAAGCTCTGAATAAATATGTCCTAAGACGGCACAATGACATTGTATGGTAGTGCCCAGAGTTTCCCTCACTTTTAAATTTTCTTTCTCTGGAATCACCGCTAAAGTTATAACTTTGATGATCGAATATCTCCCATTAACTCGACGCAGTGTCATTGCATAAACGCCAGAATCGTTTAAAACAGCTTCTTTTATCTCTAAATAAATATATTATTATATCTATCAATTATTCCTGAATATTATATTTAAATAAATATATATAACTATTAATAATTTTCTAAATATAAAAAATAAATATGAATAATAAGTATAACAACAAATTTGAAATTTATATATCTCTTCAATGAATATAATTAATTGAAAATATACGCTAAGTTATTTAAAGAATTATAACAATATGTCAATAAGCGAGAACAAATTAATTTTTACCAATGTTAAAATCTTTCAATTCCAATCTATCGGGTTCTATTTCTATAAAGATACCATTTAATGACCATTGTAATTCAGAACGAGGAGATTCTGTAATGATAGATTTAACAATATCCTCGTCGGATTTAAGTGTGATTGCATGGTGTTCTTTTACCGTAAGAGATGTGTAATTCCTTCGAATTCTTCGATTTATTGAATTTATTGTATCTGTATATAATAAAATAATAAAATAAAACATAAGTCATTATAGATTCTTTTATAGATGTAATATTAATTTTAAGTTATATATTTTTTATATTTACTTTAATAAATATTTTATATTTCAAAAATAAACGAAAAAAGTTTATTGCGACATCAATTATAATATCAATTGATTATAACTATTGTAAAATATAGTTAGAGATTAATAGCATCGCATATTCTATAATAAAAGTATAATATAGAAAAAAAAATATATAAATTGTGTTATTTTTTTATAGAATGCTTTAAAATTTCTTTCTATCCTTTATGTTTTGCGAATTCATTATTTCAAAGATATATTATAAAGCCAAGAATATAACATTAATATTTTTTATATTAAAGATTAAAACACAAGACATATTATAATTTTGAAAAAGAAATGATGAAATAGTGTTTAATTGATATTTCGTATTTTGTCTCTGATCATGTGCCAAGAACAAGTATAAACAAAGAGAGCAAATAGTGAGAAAAGGACAGAGATAAATTAAAAGTTGTGACATCAGCGCCATCTTCAGAGTGCCGCAAATGAAACACAAATAAATAAGGAGAGCAAATAATTGAAAAAGGATAGAGATAGGTAGAATTGACTTTCAGCGCCATCTCTCGAATATTAACAACACTTTTTCAAGAAAAGTTTTTAGGAATAGCGAAGAGATGGCGCTAGTTCTCAATTCTCACTCTGTTTTATCCTACTTCGGTATTCAAGATGGTGCTAGTAATTAATTCTTATCCTTCTTTATCTACTTTTCAAAGAAGTGTTGCTGATATCTAAGAGATGGCGCTAATTGTCAATTCTACCTATCTCTATCCTTTTTCAATTATTTGCTCTCCTTATTTATTTGTGTTTCATTTGCGGCACTCTGAAGATGGCGCTGATGTCACAATTTTTAATTTATCTCTGTCCTTTTCTCACTACTTGCTCTCTTTGTCTATACGTGTAAAAAGGCGATACTAATATTTAATCAATTAATTAATTGATTAAAAATCGTTACAGAATTTATTCAATCATATTTTTATATATCATAAGTGTTTATATACTTTTTATATATATGTATTAGACAAAATTTAATGTAATAATATTCAAAAGTTAAATTTTTTATAAATATCTTGAAAATTAAAATCGATCACATTACATGTAAAAAAAATTGCTTAAAATATTGATTTTTATTACGTATTTAAAATGATCGAAAGAAAAATCATGGAAATGTATAAAGATTATTTTAGAAACAAAATTATAATTTTTTGTAAAGATTACTTTGATTTAAATTTCCCGTATATAAAACAGAAGCTAGAAAATGCAAAAAAAGGATTCTAACTTTATAATAAAAACGTTTTATCGTTTTCACTAATCGTTAACTCATCAAGTTTATTAATTTTCAAGTTTTTTAATAATTAAGATTTTTAAATAATTAGAATTATTTCCATTCAATTATTGTCAAACATCATGCGATCATCTTTATGATTTTCGAATAAAATAAAAATGTAATATAAACATACCTTCGGTTATATCACCACAAATTATTTCATTACAACGTCCAATCATTTTACTTGGCCCCACACATGGTTCACCCCTAAAATTAGGTTTTGGAGAGTCACAACGTCGTTTTCGTACTCCTGTACCACCATTGCAACTTACGCTGCATGCCCATGGTCCCCATTCTGACCAACCTCCATCAATTGGTGGTCCATCTATATCTTTTTAACAAGTTTATCTTTATTAATTTATTTTCCTATAATTTGTATATGTTCTTCAATAGTTTTAAACTTTTTTTATCTTATATAACGGTGAATACAATAAATAATTAATTTCAAATAAATAAACTCTTATAACAAATAAAATTCTCAATAGATAATTATTTAATAGTTAAAAAAATGCAATTATTCTTACCTATTGGCATACAATTGGCAGTCCAAGTGACCCAATGTGGCGGTTCAACTCCGACAGAAAAGAATAAAATATAAGAGGATCTTTATGTTGATAATGAAACACATTTGTTGAATTAGAATAAATATCTATGATATATTCAGTCCATCTATGAATATTTTTCATTAATGAATCACAAAACTATTAATTTATTAGATCATTCTATTAATTCTTTGATCCTTTACTTTATTGTAATATTGGTCCATGTATTTTTTGTAAATAAAGCTACTTGTGCTCTTTGTTTATGATAAACTGTCACATTAGGAAACGTAGTTTTCGTAAACCATATCCAACGTTCTGGATTATTAATTTTAAGCACGTAGTATCTATTAAAAGTCAAATTATTTAATTAGTATTGAAAGATGTTTTGTCATATTGTGATAACAAGAAAAAACAGATCATGAAAATTTAACATCGTTTGTTAAATTTGAACAACATAAATTAGATCTTTTCATGTAACTTACAAAAAGCCAATTTACCCTGGAATTACAGGCATCTGATATAAAGGTATAAGAACTCCACCTTCTCCACGCATTTGAAAAGTTATATGGTCAGGAATTATTACTTCTTTTTCTATCCATGTTGATAACGATAAAATTCTCGTGTATCGATCAGTTTTCGTGTTTTCTATATGACAATCTATTATTTTATAAATATTTTAAACGTGACACAAATTGTATACGAGATACAATAACACTAATTTAATAAACTCTAAGATAAATCTGGCTACTAAAGTTAAAAACATCGTTAACGAGTTAAAGCAAAAATTGAATGTAAAAAGTTGTTCTTCCGTGTAAAATTTCTATCTTTGAGAAAGATCTTCATTTCATAAAATAAAATAATAAAGATGGAATAATTATGATAATTAAAAATAATAATTGGATGAGTCATATTTACTCAGATCACGATCGAAAGCGAAACCAACAGCGTTCCCCACTTCGGTACCATAATAATAATACATAGGTAAAAAAGCAATAGAGGGATTAGGATTAATCCATTCAAATATAGGTGTAGGATCATCTTCGTAGAATAGTAAAAATTTCCCTCGTGGTACTTGAATTACAAAGCTGCTCCATTTTCCCGTGTAAAGTAAATGGGGCAAAGTTTTTTTTTTTACTAAGGCAATATCTGTAATTAAATAGATTTTGCTTAGAATAAAATAATAAAAAGAAAAGAAAAAAATTAAAAAAGCATAGAAAAGGAGAATATTATTTACGGAATAACCATTTTTAATTAAACAATTTAGATAGTCGATCGAATTAATTGCATTCGTTTCTTCAATTACATGAATTTCTTCTTATCTGATTTCATGTTCAAAAGGATAAATTAACTTGAAAGAATATCGATTTTTTCGAATTATAATTCTTTTTATGTGTAATTAATTATAGTATTTATATTGAATATAATTATATTTGCATATTTAAAGATTAGAATGAATTAATCTATCTTTTCTTTCTTTTTTGTTTTTTCATTTCCATGTGTTTTCAAGAAACGGTTAAGAAGAAGTTCATTTATTAAAAAATAAAAAAATATGATATCATAAATCCGAATATAAAAGATTCTAATTTATATATATGTATATATATATGTTACGTGATGTTTCTGATTGATAATAGAGTAGCACTTTTTCATTATCCAATGTTCCTATTTTCAGAATAAAACGCGACTTAAGTCCATCTTCGGCTAGAAAGATAATGGAAACGGTATCTCGATCATCGGGTTCCCAAACTTTCAGAGAAAAATGTAAACCTTCGGAACGATATTCGGGTAAAATAAATAAACGTCTACCCAAGCTATCTTCTCTAACAAGAACTATAAACTCTTCTGTAAATAATAATTATTGTTAGTAATAATCATCGTTAAGTCTATCATTCTATTCTATGAAAATTCTAAATAGATAAATAAAATCTATACAGCAAGAAAACAAAAAAGAACTTTTGAAGCAACCAATCGTTATACCGATCTGAGTAAACAGATAAATGTAACCAATAAAAATAAACTTTTCTCTTAATTCTTTTTCCATTATCAATGATCCAATATTTACCTGGTTTATCACAGTCTCTAACATTGCAAAGATCCCGTGGTACGGAAGGATCAGCGGTGTAACACCAAGTGCCACCTATATTGCGCGATGGATTTCTGCAATAATTGCTAGCGTTCAATGCACTTCCATCCGGATAACGGCTGTCATTGAAGATCTCGTGGCCGGCAATTGCAACGAGTTTAGGACTAAAAGGAAGTCCTGGACGTTTTGGCGGCTGCGGAGAGCGCTGTATTAAGCGATAGTATGATCTTAATTCTTCAGGATCCTGGATGGCAGATCTGATAGTACGGGCCCTACTCTCTTCAGGCTTCGGTGGAGGGATTGGCCAGGAGATACAAGCACGTCCTGAACGTGTTTTTATAAGTTTTCCCATGTAATCGTTCGCGGTCCCTGCCATTCGACATTCTGAAAATTAGGAAGCATAGTTAACGCAACATATAATTTTATTATTTTCTATAATTATAATTTTATTGTTTTATCACGCATTTTGCAATATTTCATTTTTATGGAAATTTTTAGAATCATGTCACAAAAATGATAAATTTTTATATGTTTGTAATATAACAAAATATTAATTACCTATCGATCTGCACTTTCGTATCTTACAATGTCGTTTCGTGATGGTTTCGCTTTCCCAAGGGGTGTACGCGTAACAATAAGGACCTTTGGGATCACGAGTGGGATTTCTACATTTATTAAGAGCCTTCAAAACCGATCCATCGATGAATTTTTTATCATCCTTAATTTCTGATGGAATCTTATTAAAAATAAAACATGTCAGAGCAACATTCAAAGCAACTTCTTCTTTATATTTCTTACGTCTTTTGATATCCATGGAACACATGGAATTTCATTAATGCTTGTCCACTGTGTACCTTTGTAATCGTAATCTCTTAACTCAGAAAGACAATTTGGTGGCCAAGGATCTTCTACAACATCTGATTCTATTTAAATATAATTATAATCTTTTTTATATATCAAACATACTTTATATATATATATATATTATTATTAATTTATATTTTAAAATAATCATAAAATTTAAGCAAGAAAATATTACCTTCCGGCGAACAAAATAGCGTCCATTGTGCAATAGTATTTTCGCTTCCGATACTGAACCATCTCAAATGGGCAAAAAAATTTTCGTTCATGTACATTAATTCGATAGCACCTCTATGTTTATGCGAATATAAATGAAAGTGCGTTCCAAAAATACTATAGAAAAAAAGCTTCATTATAAGAATAGTAATATAAAAATAAAATGAAATTTAACATATGCAAAATTCGACAATTTGACAAAACCTGATGGTAAACTCTCTCCATGACCAAAAATCGAGTACATCTGAGGTTGTGATCTCTTTTAGATAAAGTTTCGAAGTTTCCTCCGTTGCTTGATACGTAAGTGTTGAGATTTCTTTGCCTAACGTTATCTAGTAATATATTTAATATAAAAGTAACTTATTCCATTTATTTTAAATCTTAATAAATTATTATTAATATATTTTTTTATTCATTTAATAAAATTATTCAATTGACGATAATTTAAATAAAAAGATAAAGTATAAATGTTAAAAGATACTTACGTGTACATAAGGATATTCCAATATAGGTGTTTCGTATAAACGTATTTGAATATTTTCGCTTGCACGAGCAAAAAATCGAACGTCAATTGTATCGTTATGTTTTTGCATAGCCCAAATTTTTGAAAAATCAATTCCAAAAGTTATATATAAATCGCAATCTGGAATTTATATGCATTCGCATTAAATTTCATTTAAAAAAGTATATTTAAATCAATTTATTATATATATTTTTAGTTATAGTTATTTTTAATTATACGTTTAGTATTTTTTTATATTTCTTATTAATTTGATAACATTTAAATAATTTTTTTTATTTTATATTTTATATATTTTGAAAAAAATAATAAATTCCATAAAAAGAAATCTTTTTTTTAATATCTTTAATTTTAAAAAGATTTTAAATTTAAATTATCGATTGAACAATTTAAAAAATATTGAAAACATACGTTTTTGACAAAATGGTGTATTCCATAAAACGTTCGTTCCTCGAACACCATAATATAGAAACGTATCTAGATGTAAACTTGTAATTCCATGTTTTTTCTTATATTCCTGCATAATTATGGGTTTCGATTTTCCTTCGATACCGGCGGAAATAAAACCACCTCCCCACGTTATCCATATTCCCGTCCATCTTGTTCCGATTAATATTTCCGGGCTACTTTCGAAAATTTCATCTTCCTAATATAAACACATCCTAATAAAATACTGCTATATGTTCAATTATTATTTTATTAAATTATTTAAAAAATTATTTTCATTTTTATCTGGAGAAATATTGAAAATCTGATCAATAATAATATAAAATATTAATTACACATTCATGTAGTTAAACGATCGAAAAAATATTAAAAAATTATTACTAACATCATATTTTGGAAACGTTTGACGACTGCCAGAATTTGAAAACATTATTTCAACTCCTGCAGTCCATTCTTCAGCTATGATTTCCGAAGAAGTTGGTACTGGTAAAAGAGTAAAAATTAGTGCAGCTTCTGCCTGTAAATATTATTTTATCCAGTTAAATCTTAACAATCTTAAGGATTTAAGTAAAAATATCTTAAAATAGCTTTATAATACTTTTTATCTGTACAAAGTACGTAAAATTTTGATATTTCTTTATATTTATCTTATCTTTTACTTTTGCTTTATTTTCTTTTTCTTAAAAAGAAATCCAAGATGGCTATGCACACTCATGACAGTATTTATCGAATGATACGTTTGATTTTTTGTAAGAAAATTCATGACTGTACGCCATAAATTAGAAAATCCCTATGATACGTTCGTTCGTGTTACACTGAACGTGTCAAATAAAATTTTGACATAGTACATACTATTTTTTCATCATCAGGATTCCATAATTTAATCCAGAATGTAATATTACCGCTAGGTGCGTGTAATTTTGCCAATATAGTATATATAGATGAATTCTTCGTAAATGCCAAACAATCTAATATACAATGAATTTTTATTAATAATGTATTTTTTTTATTTTATCAAAAAATTCTTATTCAAATTGATTATTGAATATGATAACGATAAAATAAATGTAAAATCAAACCTTTATCATCGCAAAATGAAATATCACAATACTCTTTCACAACGTATTCAAAGTTTTCTTCATCAACGTAACACCATGGCCCTCCAACATCCCCTGTGGGATTTCTACAAAAATTTTCAGCCTTTTTAACTGATCTGTCAGGAAACTTGTTTTCTTTGAATTTTACAACCTACAATGTAAAATTAAATTGTTAAAAATCTTTTTAAATATGTATATTTATATGTATATGCTATTATTTTTAGAAATAACATTTTATTATTTAATTTTTAAAATGTTTCACGAGAAAAAAATTTTTATTTTTGTCAAAATTCCAAATTTCAATGCTCATCAGATTAAAAAAATTAATAATTCTCTTACTTCTCCAGTTTTAAGTTGAAGTCGTTTATGCCATGTTTTACATTTACTTCTTGATCTAGTGACTTCTTTGGTTCCTCCATAATCAGCTCCTGGTCCTGATTGTCTACATTCTGTTCGTTTATAAATAAATACATATATAAGAAAAACCTTTTATTAGATATAAAATGAAACGTTTAAAAAAAATACGATTTAAAACTAAAATTACACTAATAATATTAAAAATAATATTGTTTCGAAAATTAGCAAAATTACTAGTCTGGTTCATTTCGTTTAAAATCTTTACTTTCCATAATGAAATTATAGACACTTTATAATTTTCATTGTTTCTCTAAATTGATACAACATGTTAATATTTATATACAGAAAAAAATTTTTATTTTTTTTTTTTTATAATTTAACTTTTTTATGTAAAAAGTGCTACGAAACACGTCGTAACAAAATTTTGATATTTAAGAATAAAATAATTTCTTATGTATTTTCATATAAATCTGAATGTAGACACAAAAATGACCTAAGTTAAAAAATAAACGAATAAAAAGTATGAGTTTTTGCTATATTTACGGAAAATAATCAAAGAAAATAATTTTTTTCAATTTTTATTAACTGCAATATATAATATATATATACTCTTCTTCATAAAATCAAATTTAATTTATCATCTTACCAAGATATACCGCTTTGAAGTTGTTTCATTTATTTGAGTACATTGTACGTTTCAGTCTCGAGGAATACTGAAAATCATAGACTGTCTTATAGTTCGTCCTGAAGTATAGACTATTTCCAACAATCACATTGTAAGAATAAAATCTTTCCATTTTCAGCTATGTTCTCAGTAGTTACTGCCTTCAGTAGTTACCTGCCCTTTATACCTTGTGAATGCATCGAATTCGTACAAAGGTAAACGAAGTTTAAACTTATGTTTTGGTCGGTTAGAATATCGCGGGAATCAAGGTTGTTTATTATTATTATATTTATTATCGAAAATAAGAATTAACCGCCGCGAATTCAAATTTATGCGAGATCAATATCCGCGCATGTCTGATGCCATCGATAAACAACAACTATAAAATAGGAAACCGCACTTGTATCGTGGCAAAGAGATCGTTTATATCGTCTATAAAACACAAAGTTTGTCTTAAATAATGTATAATAATGTATATTGGATTAAATTTTTTTTTTAAAATTTGTTAACATTCAGTTGAATTGTTTCCAGCTGTCTACATTACAGTTACACAAGATTGATTACGTCTATTATCACAATAATACATCATTTATATAAGGTAATATTTATTAAATTTTATATATTTTTTTTATTCTCTCAATGGAATTACAATAATAGATATGATTGTTTGGTTAAAAAAATTTTTAAATGGTAAAATGCCCGTCTTTTTTCATGATTATTATATTATATATTTGAAAAAAAGAAATAATAGAAGAATTACAATGCAGAATAAGATATTATACAAATGAATTTTTTTTAATTATTATAATGTTACATCAAATTATATTTTATTTACTCGTTTTATGTTTATTTTTCAAACTATCTCAATTCTTTTTTTAATAACATAAATGCTACGTAATGTAAAAATATATTTAAAAATAATATTAAAATATAATATAAAATAAGAAAATATAATATTATAGTAGGATAATTATATTAGTAGGATAGAATAAAAAACATTTGTATAATAGATCTTTGAGTAGTTTTCATTGTTATTAACTTAAATCAAATATATTTAATCTCTTGAGAATGATATTCGTTTGACAACGGTTACGATACTGAAGATTGTTGTATTAATGACATTTGGATAGTATTCAATATATTAAAAAATCTATCTGTTTACATCGATTTTTAATGTATAGTACTAAAATATTTTTATATTTTTATTAATATCCGAAATTAAAAATTTAAATCTAAAGTTCTTCTTTCCTTTCGATCGAGATTTTTTGTGTATTTCTGCGTTTTTCGTTTTTTTTTTTTTTTAAAACATAATTTTGCTCTATATACATATAAACTTTCATTCAAATAAAAATTCTCGGATTAGATGAATTTTCTTTTAAGATATTGTTCAAATATATTCAATGAACAATTGTAACTAAGAAATTTTTTGATCAGTAATTTAATGTAACAAATAGTATTATTGCTTTATACTTCGACTTAAAATTAGTCTTTCGTTTTCGTAGACTCTCAAGATAAAATGGGCAACGAAAATTTTCAAGTGTTGACAGAACAAAAGAGAATTTATGACTTAGGTATATTACCTCCAAAATTACAAAGAGGCACATCGCATTCGTCGTCTATAAGCGTAGGTTCTAAGGTATAACACCATGGACCTCTATTATCTCCCGTTGGATTTCTACAGTAATTTTTCGCCGTTTTCATTGATTTTTCGGGAAAATCATTATCAGTTATATCTTTGCTAACCTGACATTTTTTT